AATGGTCTGTTTTTCAATCTACAGGTCACCTCATCAGTATCGGTCATTTGGAGACATAAGTCTCCAACTGGAGCTTTAATCTACAGAAGAGACTGTTGCTTCAAGGTCCTTCCAGGCTCACTCTTATCCAAGACTGGTTTTTATTCACAGCACAAGACAGAAGAACTTTTACAACTCTTAAGTTAAATAATCATTAAATAATAATTTGGTTGATGAACACGTTATATGAATACTAAATGAAATGTTTTAATTAATCTGTGAAATGAATATATTATTACATTGAAAGATTTATATATGACGATCAGGAATGTTGGATTTAACAAGTGAATCATTATCTACACTGCATATCTCCTCATGACGCTAGGTTAATGTAATTGCAGACAGAGATTTTCTTACCCACAAATCAGAGCATCCCGTATCCGAGAAGGCGTGATGTCTGAGGTTTGGTGGTTAACACCTCTTAACATGTCAAGCTCCGATTGGCCACACGAATCATGATATGAGAATATTAAAAACAGAATCACTTGCTGAATAATTCAGCACTCCAGCTTTCCAATTCAGCATTCAAGTTATGAGCATATCTTCGACTGGCCATCGGAGGGAAACTAACCATTGCATCTACAGCTGACACCGCAACCGGTTCCTTCAGAACCAAGGTGAGAAAACTTCAACTCCTTAAGAGTTATTCCTAAGACCCAAACAACTGCGACCCGGAGACATCTCAGGCCTGACTTGGTCGCCTCGCGATTATCCTACTAACCTCGAGGCACTAGGGGTCACTAGACTCCCTGACATCTCGGATCCAATCGGGGGGTCTCCAGAACGGGTACGTGGGCTCCCAAGATTGTGTCTGATGTGGTTTGAGAAACCATCAATTAGTTTAGAGCCAACCAAATTCACTCCCACTCAGAACTCGCTTCTCCAGATACGAAGGTTCTGGTAACATCACATTCATACATCATCACACCTCACATTCCATCCTCTTTAGATTCATTCTTCACATAAGTGTTTCCTAGTTGTCATGTTTTTAATTGTTTAGAAAATAAATTCCTTACTTTTTATAAACTTAACTCTCTTGTTGAAGTAAAACGAAGTGTTGATCCCCGAAAAAGCAAAGAATCCTAGAATCTTCTGATTAAACATTCAAAGACCAAGCGGGCTGATATTCTATATTTATAAAGAATATTACATCTTCCGGCTCATAAGTTAAGGTAATAAAATAGGCTTAAAAGCAACAACATTTACCTCTCTACAGTAGTAACAAGTTATATTTACACCGTTACATTTACTTGAGTAAGTTTTTGAAAAATAATCTACTCCAGAAGTATTATTTCTGCATCATACTTTTTAATTTTACTACTACTTTACATTTTGAAGAAGGAACGCTACTTTTACTCCACTACATTTGGCTAAATTTGATTAGTCACTTAAAAAAATACTTCACACAAGAAATAACAGAGCTAGGGTTAGGGTTAGGGTTAACCCCCTTGCTCTCACCAATCAGATGTTGCCACATAAACTCCTACATCGCAGATTAAAGTGTGCGGATTATCTTTTTTTTCTTTACATCAAATAGATAAAAATACAAAAAATAAAAAAATAACATATAAAAACACTAAAAATACAGAAACAATTCCATCCAACCAACTCAACACTGATGACCATAACAGATATAATTTTACCATCCCAAGGCTTCCATTATATTATACACTTATTTTTCATACTATATCATAACATATTTAACCCTTTCAAAATAATAATAACATAAAATAATATCAAAATAATAAGTTCTCTTTCTAAATACAACATAAATGTTCTTTTAATCTAATTTTCAATACGTTATTAGCCCTAATATGTGAGATTTCTATTGGGAGACGATTCCACTCGTACATCCCTCTATACATTGCTGTATGTTTTAAAGCATCAGATCGTACTTTTCGTAATGTAAATTTATCTTCTAAGGCATGTCTTGTATCATACAAGTGCTTATCTTTACTAAATTCAAGAGATGTATATAAAATAGTTTAGTTTAGTTTATTTCAAACAAAGAAAACATACATAATTTTTTTCAAATACCACAAACAGAAAAAAATACATATCATCATCCCTTCTTCTCTGTTTGAAAAGTATAAGTAAAGTAGATAGAAGTAAAGTATAAGTAAACAGATGGCATCTTTGTCTCCCTAAGCTTCCAAATAAAAATAAGCAGTGAATATAAGTCGGTCATACACAAATAGCCAGTTTAGTTCTGTGTGCATATCTCTTATATTTATTTTATAATCCTTTTTTAATACTAATCGTGCAGCTCTGTTGTGGATTTTCTGTAGTTTTTCAATTGTTCCTGAATTTGCATTTGACCAAACTATAGAACAATAGTCCAAATTTGATAATAGCAACGCTTGTGTAAGATGTTTCAGAGCAGATTAATTCAAAAATGGTGCAAATCTTTTGGTGGAAGCAATTACACCACCCATTTTCTTTGCAACATTATTTAGATGCTGTTTCCAAGACAGTTGATTGTCTATAGTAATACCCAAAAGTTTAATTTCCTGTACTTGTTTAATTGACTCATTTCCTATAGTTAATTTTAAGACCGGGTTGCATCTTAATAAATGTTTAGAAGCAATCACAATGGAATTAGTCTTAGCAACATTCAATACCTATTGATTTTGCTTTACCCAGTCTAACACATATTTTCTTTAATCAACACTGAATTTAGTTCTTCAACAGATTTAGCATGTGAATACATGTGAATCATCTGCGTAAATTACTGTTGTTGCTTTATCCAGCACAAAAGGCAGATCATTTGTAAAAATGCTGTACAATAAAGGGCCAAGACAACTGCCCTGGGGCACCCCACATGTCACAGAACTGGGTACCGAGTAACTCCCGTTAAAAAAGACTGACTGAGTTCTGTTGGTTAGATAACTCCGCAACCACTGTATTGCTGACACTTCAAAGTCATACCGTTTTAGTTTATCTAAAAGTAAATTTTGACTGATTATGTCAAAAGCCGCAGAGAAGTCTAACATCACTGCTCCAACAATGTTCCTTTGGTCTATTTTTCTGTACCAGTCATCGGTCATCCCATCCCAGATCTGGACAAGTGGGGGAGTAGAGGGAGGTGGAGTGTACAGTCGGTAAAGACGGCTCTCCCTTGCCCTGCCTCCAACATGCCTCCATCTAAAAAGGCTAGCTTATCCAGAGTTATCTCTGTAGTTATGCTGCTATAGGCTTAGACTGCTGGAGGATACACTGACCACTTTCCACACTCAACTACTTTCTTCTACAATTTGCTCTTCAACTGCATTATTTCCTGCAATTTCAGCTGTTAACTTTATTTTTTCTCTAAGTGTTTTTCTCCCCAGAAGAAGCTACAATGATGTTCTGCTCAGCTGTGGTGGCCTCATGGAGGGGGCCATCGTCTACCACACTGCTGCTAATCACTTAAACATTCTCACTCTCCTGATAATATTTTACTCTCTTGACATTGAATGTGCTACTACTAGTTTACCCATTTAATTATAGATTCACTGAAGTTGATCTCTCACAAAATAGAATATTTATTAAGAAATCACAATGTAACCATAGAAATACTACTTGGTATAAATGGTGTGTGTGTGTGTGTGTGTGTGTGTGTGTGTGTGTGTGTGTGTGTGTGTGTGTGTGTGCACGCGCGTGATGGATGGCTGCTTATACTGAGCCAGGATTCTCTGGAGGTTTCTTCCTGTTAAAAGGGAGTCTTCCTCTCCACTGTCGCTAAATGCTTGTTTAGGGACACAGGAGAGGAGATGAGGCAAACAGAGTGAGTGTGACATTAAGAAACCAGACTGGTGTGGAGGTGAGCAAAACAGCTGGAAAAGTGTGGGTGTTGAATCCCCCACGGGTGCGACGCCCATGCGAGCGACCGGTACCGGCTGCTGTCACCTGTTGTGAGCAGCGCTCTGCTGTCTGAGGGTAGGCCCCGCCCACAACGCCGCGGCTGCTGCGGTGTTTTCTTTACTGTGGGAAACGGGTAATAATGGCTCTTTGATGGGAACAGGCTGCCGACCCCTGGTAAAAGATCTGAGCTGGTAAAACAAAAATCCTCATCAGCAGGATTTTTTGAAAGTGGGGGGGGACACAGCTGCCAATCACAAATTTTGCCGGGGACATGTCCCCAGTGTCCCCAGTTAAAATGACGCCTATGCTGCTGATTCTAGACATGTTTGTCACAACTCCAAACTTTATTCAGCATCGTCAAGAAGTAAAATCAATCAAAATGAGACCAAAAGTGATCCAATTAAACTTATGGTTACAGAAACAGTTCAAGTGTGCATGGACACTCATTTAAGTGTGTGTGTGTGTGTGTGTGTGTGTGTGTGTGTGTGTGTGTGTGTGTGTGTGTGTGTGTGTGTGTGTGTGTGTGTGTGTGTGTGTGTGTTCTGTCTTCTCGATCCCCAGTGAGTCGTGGAGGATGGCTGCTTATACTGAGCCAGGATCCTCTGTAGGTTTCTTCCTGTTAAAAGGGAGTTTTCCTCTCCACTGTCGCTGCATGCTTGCTTAGTATGAGGATTGCTGTAAAGACTCTGACACTAGTCAGTGACTTGATGCAGCCTGCTGGGTTCCTTATATAGGAAACTTTTTACTGATTGGCTTAATGAACTGACCTGTATTGGAATATTTATTATGTGAAGTGCCTTGAAACGACTCTTGTTGTTATTTGGCGCTTTATAAATAAACTTGAATTGAATGAAATGTTAGCTTGCTAACTTCTGCACACATGTGCAGTGTTAAACCGTACAGTCTGTTATCTTCCTGTTAATATTACCCGTTTAACGCTCAAACACATGACTAATTCATAAATTAATGTTGGCATTAATTTCATATACCTTCATCAGTTACTGGAGGCCACTGTGTAACATAATCAGTCTCTGTATTCGTCATGCTGTCACAGACAGTAAGTTTACAATGACAGCATAATATGAATCATTGACGAGTGGCTCTGCAGCAAGATGGTGATCCCCACAAATTACTTTATCGGTCTACAAACATTTTAAACATGAATAAAAACTGTTCATTCATTTTCTGTCAGTGTTGCGTTTCAGGAGTTATGTAACTAAAACAAGCAGTTTCAAAAAGTCCCTTTTTAACATAACATAGGACCCCCCTTCCTCACCTGTGGACCCTGGAGGAGCAGCAGCTCTGGTCTCGGCCTCAGGAAGCGGTGACAAAAGGAGCTGGTGTCTGTCTGGTTCTGGTCCATGGTGGTCTCTGTCCTCATCAGCAGGAGTCACAAGGGAGGTAACCGTCTCCTGCTTCAGTACAAGCTGCTCTTCATCCTGACTCATGCAGAGCTCCTCTTGTTCTAGAACCTGCAAAGGTTCTGACTCATCCTGCTCCACTTTCATCTGTGGAGGTTCTGGTCCCTCCTGTAAAGGTTCTGGTTGTTCCTGGTCCAAACTGGAGGTCCTCTCCTGGTTCCAGAGCTGCTGGTCAGTCTGAACCTCCTCATCTTTGCTGACATCATGCAGCGGGAGTTCTGGACAGACAGACCAAACAAAAAGATGAATCATGTGACAATAAGAGAGCACACTTCACTTTAATCATCTGATGCATCTGAAGATGTTTTAGAACATAATGAACTCTTAACCTGACAAACAACCACACACAGTTCTACAGTCAGAGATGAGAACAGCAGGTGTGTGTGTGTGTGTGTGTGTGTGTGTGTGTGTGACTGACCCACAGCAGAACTGGACTCAGTATCTATCAGATTCATTGATTTAGATTCTTACTGACTTCTGGGATGGACACACAGGTACTACAGGTGAGTTTATAGAGACATAAACATCCAGATGTTCCTCAGATGCATCAGTCTCTGATGAAAACGGGACTGAGATGTTTTCATGTTATCATCTCCACTTTGAAGCTGCTGACAGCTTTACTTGGTAATGTCCACAAACAGATCAGACTAACAGAAACTTCTAAACAAGTCTCTGATTGTAGAACATCAGCTGGAAACGTTCACCAAGTCTTTAAAGTTTGTCTCTTTTAAACGGATTTAGTGGAGTTACTGAAAATGAAAAAACTTCCTAAAACCCCTGAAATGTTATTGATTTATTTCTCTAAAGTGGAACAAAGTTTACCGACTGATTTCAGCTCAGTTGTGTCAAAAAGCTTCAGAACAGCAAACGGACCCAAGCAGACTGTCCTGAGATTGTGTCCTCAGTAAAACCTCATGAGTCCCGCTGCTGTTTCATACCTATTCTGTGTAAGTTGATCTGTGGTTTCCAGCTGATCTCCAGCAGTCTGCGCTGACGATCGATCTCTTCCTCGTAGCGGACGATGGTTTGTTCAAACTCGGAGAATATTTCTGCTGCAGCAGCAGTTAGCCGCTCTCTGATAAACTCTCTCAGAGACTGAGCTGAAGACATTGTTGCTGCAGAGCCTCAGAGGTTCACCTCACACACCCACACAACAAGCTAACGCTGCTAACCAGCAACAAGCTAACGCTGCTAACAAACAACAAGCTAACGCTGCTAACCAGCAACAAGCTAACGCTGCTAACAAACAACAAGCTAAAGCTGCTAACAAGCAACAACAAGCTAACGCTGCTAACAAACAACAAGCTAAAGCTGCTAACAAGCAACAACAAGCTAACGCTGCTAACAAACAACAAGCTAAAGCTGCTAACAAGCAACAACAAGCTAACGCTGCTAACAAACAACCATAGACTGTACATATACAAACAACCAAGCCCCCACAATGCGGAGTAAGAAGGTCTAGCTGCAGACGCAGCCCCGGCCAAACACGCCCCTATGTACAAAACACGCGTGCACGTACGAAGACGAGAACACGCATGCGTGTTGCAACAGATGGAAATGACGGTTCAGGTAAAGACAGATTTATATTTTTACAACTTGCGAAGATTTTGTACTAGAAATTTGAAAGTTTAAGACATAGTTTGAGAGATAGCGCATTCGTAATTTTTTTCTGAAACAGTTTTATATAAAATTAAGCATTATTGGCAGTGGGGGAAGACGTCATGGATGCAAATTTTTTATATAATTTTTATGGGCTACATGCAAGCCTTTTGGCCAAAATAAACGTAACAATAGGCTATTTATTTGACCGTTTATGACTCCTCATCTAATAAGCAGCAAACTCACGACGGCAATGTGGTAGCCCGGAGGTATTCTACAAACACAAGAACAGTGCTAATGCCTCTATGTATTGTTTTCACATTGTTTATGACAGCCTCTAGGCGTAAATGTCATTTTTACTAATTGCTATTTATCTTTGTCTCATTAGTGAGAGGCAGCTGATGTCCTAATGCCATGGAACTGCTCATATACTCTGAGAAATTCAGAAAAGCTCTGGACTCATCTCATTGTGTGGACATTTTTTTGGAAGGTTTTTTAAGGCCAATAAAAGCTGTTGCTGGGCGTTTCATTTGTCTGAACTTTTTTTCTAAAGCCAAACTTTTCTGCTTTTGTGTTTACAGTATATTCTTTACCAAGGGTGTCAGTTTGTTTTCAGAATTGCTGGGTACAATAACCATACACTTGAGTGGGGTTTAAAAATTGCTGGGGACAATAAAGTAGGCTAGCACAGGGGTCGGCACTCCGCGGCTCTGGAGCCGCATGCGGCTCCTCCATCCATCTGATGCGGCTCTCTGTGCTTGTAAAATAATGAATGGATATTTAAATAAAATGCTTTATATTTTACTGCATTAATTTTACATCTGTATGCCAATTCTAAATGTAAAGATTGTCTGCGTAAACCTGAACAGGTCCAACCCGGTCTTACTGTGAGACCGGGTCGACGCGTCATGCTTGTGCGTAATCATAGGCGCTTCTGAGCTGCTTTCTGACCTTCCCCACCTACATAGTTTAATTACAACAATCAAACGTGACAGAGCCCGGATTTGTATTCTGAACAGTCTAAATATGTTTTAAAAAGAATTGCGTGACAAAAGTGGCACCTGCTCAGTAAAACCACCAACAGGGTGAAAAATATCAAAATATTGTCGGCAGAGAGGGGCTACAACTTCTGGATCCACTTTATATAAATCGTTTTATTGGTTATCTTCTTACGAAAGATAACTTTGACGTACACGAGCGACCAGGCGCGTTGCAAACTTTTCAAAAGTGTGGGGGATGTTGTCTGTGCCTAAAATAAGTTCATGTTATTCATCTTGTTAGTTTAATTTTCATAATAGCGGAGCAGATGCGAATTTTAGACGCGTCACGCACGTCTCCGTTTTAAACATGTTTAAACTGTTCAGAATACAAATCCAGGCTCTGTCTCGTTAGATTGGTGTAACTAAAGTTTGTACTGAATGAAACTACATTAAACCATGTTGAAAAGAAAAGGATCCGATTAAATCGTTTCCCCCTCATTTACAGTCACGACGTACAGCGCAGTGCGCGTGGCTCTGGGGTTAATCAAGATTAATTGTTTCTGTTTGCAACAATCTTCACAGGAAGGCAAAACAGTTAAATGACAGGTTACAGATATTTCCATTTGACTGTTTATTTTGACGGATAAACTCAAGGATGTTCGTTGATTTCCTCCCACTGAAGCGGTCTGGAAACCCGGTCTCTCTGAGGGATGTGAAACTTGGAAAAATGTTATTTTTATGAAATTATGAAAGTTTGGCTGAACAGCGCTTGTTCCCGTCTCCAATATGGAGACGCATGACGCATCCAGTCGCCTCTTCAGCTCAGAAAGCACCTGTAGAGACATTTGATCACACACAAAGTTTATGTGGAGCAGAAGCGGTCGGGCCACGGCAGGTGAAACGTTCCTAGCCTACATGAAGTGAAACTGTTTAATTGTAACATTAATGTGTTACTGGACACGCTGGTCTGGTTGGTTAGACCAGTGTTTGAAGTGGAACACACACACACACACACACACACACACACCAATTAAAATAATGCTGATAGCGTGGACTAGAAGACAGGTGATGGTTTACGTGTTTAAATGATGATCAGGCTGCTGTAAAATGTAATCTCCATCCACATCCAGACACAATTATCCTCTATTCTTTCTCTATTTGCTCTGCTCTTGTCTGGGCTGACGTAGCTGACGGTGCGCGCGGCACGCCTAACTAGCGGCTGATGCACATTTTACGCATTTGGAGAGGTGGGCTGGATGCTTTCCGTTTACTGGAAGATGGTCCACTTAACGCACGGGTGTAGACTACATATTAATGACAAATGAATGAAAATTAAACTGGGAGTTTTACTTCATATTTTAGAAATAAAAATGACGGGGGAACACATTTATGACGTCTTTTTAAACTAAATTTTCTAGCGCGACCTGCCTGCGTCACTAAGTCACTGCTTATTAAGGTCCGTCCAGAATTACCGTGGCCCACCCAAAAATGAAAACCTGGCGCCGCGCCTGTTATAAACCTCTGCAAATGGTTGTTCTTCACTTTATCAAACTCAGACTTTGTACAGCTAATGTCAAGATGTAAAATTATGAATTCAGTCGAGCTCTTCCGTCCCTCCCTCTCCTGCTCTCCTGGAAACCCGACATCGGCTGTCAGAAGCGGGAGGTGAAGAAGGAGATGAGGCAAACAGAGTGAGTGTGACGTAAAGAAACCAGACTGGTGTGGAGGTGAGCAAAACAGCTGGAAAAGTGTGGGTGTTGAATCCCCCACGGGTGCGACGCCCATGGTACCGGCTGCTGTCACCTGTTGTGAGCAGCGCTCTGCTGTCTGAGGGTAGGCCCCGCCCACAACGATGCGACTGCTGCGGTGTTTTCTTTACTGTGGGAAACGGGTAATAATGGCTCTTTGATGGGAACAGGTTGCCGACCCCTGGTAAAAGATCTGAGCTGGTAAAACAAAAATCCTCATCAGCAGGCTTTTTTGAAAGTGGGGGGGACACAGCTGCCAATCACGAATTTTGCCGGGGACATGTCCCCAGTGTCCCCGGTTAAAATGACACCTATGTTCTTTACAGATTAGTGTATTGTCAATATCAGTTTACCAGTCTTGTGAATTGTATACTTAATGCAAAATATTTTAGTAATTTCTAAATCAATACATTTTGTGTCAAAGGGCCAGCAATTATTCCTGTTGGGTATTTTTATTTATTTAATCCAGGCGCACCTCAAAGAAAGTCCAAAACACACAAGGGGGGTTAGAGATAATATGGTTATTAATACCATTTACCAATAAACACAAATAATCAATAATCAGATTTTGCAAAACCGGAGAGACCAAAGAAAACACAACAGGGAGGTTAGTTTAGTCTCTCGACAACACGGAGCGTGTCAAAAGGTTTTATTCATCAGATGACATGAAACGTACACATTAAAGATGACCACACCCATCCCTTCACAGACAGCAAACTTTCCCAGGTTCAGAGAAACACTCCGTCTGGACTTCACTGGGGAGCTTTTTGTGATAACAGAATAAGCAGACTTACAAGGTCGATTTTTCCCTCCAGCAGGAGCAAAACAACACCAGATGTTATGCATCCAATTATTTACTATTATAAATGTGGATAAGGTTAATGAACTCTGTTTGACAGAATAACACTATTTTTATCCAACAATTCCTGTTAACAGAATATGAAATGCATATATACACATGTAAATATGCCTAAAAATTACACATCAGCAACTTTTCACTGTAAAGAAGCAATAAAAAATCATAAATAGTAACATAAATATTAACTACTCACTCGTATGAACTTAGACCTACTGTTAGTGCCTGTAATAACAAATGGTTGAAAGTTAAATGTTGCTGTAGGAGGCGTGCTCCCAAAAATGGAGGCTAGTGGGCTTAAGGGGTTAATTAAAACGATTACCACTAATTACTTTTTCTGATATTTAATTTTATTGCATTTAAAGTAAACACTTGCACATACATTACTCACCTGCTAGCATAGGTATGTTGTGCCTATTGTCCGGCAACTGATTATTTGTTGGTGGTATCTGTGTTTTATAATCTCACTGGGGATGGCCATAAAGTGTGTATGCAAGAAAAAAAAATCCATACATTCATATTTGAACCTGGAGTCCTGTCTGGTTAATTACATTATTACTATTTCTGTATAAACGTATTCTTTCAATTGTGTTGTTCGCTGGGAGGGCCGCCGGTATTGAGCTCGGGGGTAGCTCAACAGGGGGCGTGTTTGGCCGGGGGCGTGTTTGGAGAGGGTCTGCAGCTAGGTATTATTGACAATGCGGCTCTAAAATTGAGTTAAACCCGGAATTACCAAAAATTGCAGTTCCACTCTCATCCGCTGGGGGCGGGTGTCAGAAGCGAGCAAATCCTCATTGACTCCCATGTTAAAAATGCCAATTTCACAGCAGAAATAATCATGTTTACAGCCTGGTACCAGAAGATGTTTTTTGTTTAAATTATCTAGTTTACACTCATGACAACTCTCAGGGGGGTGAATTTTTTTCTCACTCTTCTGTTTAAGTGTATTAAAAGCCTAAAATTCTGTATAATTAATGAGCATCAGACCCACGTGACCGCCGCCTCAGACCCACGTGACAACAGAGCTAGCTCCGTGGAAAGGCCTCAGTCTGAGCCTCGGTCTGGCTTGGAAACTGCTCTGGGATTTTGAGTCTCTGTGTTTGTGTTTTCTTTTTTGGATATTATTTGTGCAATTGTTGGACAAAATGACTTGCTGTGGCATTAATTGCACTAATAAGAGCATCCAAGGAGTCTCCACTTCATTTTTTTTGGTAAGTAAAATTATATTTATGTATTTTAGATAAAATCTAAGCTCAGCTCAGCAGTTAACGTGTACTGTTTAACCATGAAATTTAAATGTAATAGGGTAAAACCCAGTGCATTTAACATAATGCTGTACTTTAGAAAATGGGTTGAAATTTAACATGTTGGTGGAGCTGGGTTCCGACTATCGGCTTTGGAGCTCTCGGGAGACCGATGTTTTCCACCCGGAATGCCGGCTGTTTCTCCCCGCAGCCCGGTACATCTTTGTCTGATCGCGGCTCCT